AAGGAGGCTTATGATTCTTTAAATAGGGTACAAAACCCCGAAAATTAGGGTTTCACCCTCCAGCTCCAACTCGTCGAGTCACTCTTCCGACTCGGCGAGTTGGTCACTTAAACACGTGTCCCAAACCCGCTGCTACTCGACGAGTCAGGGCATCCAACTCGTCAAGTAGACCTTAAAACCTGAAAATTGAAGCCATAATATTAATACCTGAGAATCGGGGCGTTACAGGGTTTTGTGAATAAGATTTTTGTAATGGTTGAGATTGAAAATTTGATCCAAAATTATTTTATTAATTTCTACCATTAGTTTAAAAGTTAAAATATTGGAGGAAAATGGGGCAGACCAACATAAGTTTAAACTTTAAAGTTTAAACTTTACGAATACAGTAAATGCTAATATCAAAACATTTAAAATCTTAAACACCAAACATACCAAAATTATATATATACATATATATATATATATATATATATATATATATATATATATATATTATATGTGTGTGTGTGTGTGTGTGTGTGCGCTTGTGTGAGATAGAGAGAGATAAGTCTATTTTAGGAACATAATAACCTGTATTACCAGTTTACCACAAGGTTTCTAGCCCAACGGTATCCGGTGTTGCCCTCCCTCATTGAGGTTGAGAGTTCAAGTCTCATTGTGGACGTAGGTGGAATAATTTAGGAGTAGTTTAATATTAATATTTGTCGTTTAAAAAAAATTGTATTAAATATGTTGAATTGATGTGTGATTTCTAAAAAAATAACACTAATTTGATGTAATGTTGAACATTATGTGAAAGTAATCATATATGCTTAAAAGTGAGCAGAACATGCAAGCCAAGCGAGCAAAAGGAAACTTACAAACATATGGACTTGGAGAATAACATCAAGTTGAAGCTTTTTAATGAAGGGAGAACAAAGTGAAATAATGAGGAAGGCGAAAATAGACCGGAAAAATAACCAAAGAATAACCAAAATAGTGCAGAACGATTTTTGGGTGAAAATAAAATCAACCAGGACGATTTTAACAACCTTATAAACGATTTTGGACAGAGAAAAACGTACTTTTGCATAATGTTAAATATGAAGAAATCGTCCTCAACAATTTCACAATCATGTTGGACGATTTTAATACCGAGAGGATAAATCATCGAAACACGTTTGCAATCACTCCAATCCAAAACCAAGGTGATAAATCATCGAATTCATCACCAAGCAACATTGGAAGATCATTCAACTGGTGAATCCTCATTAATTCCATCAAGCTCCATATTTGGCTACTTCTCCCCCAAGGTTTCATCATTCCATAGTTGATTAATCATTAGGCTTATTGGTTTTATGATTGCAAGTGTGTTTATGGATTTTAGGATGGATTTCATTGTTCTTATTCAAGTTATTTGTTTTATGAATTGATTGAATTCATAGAAGGCCAAACCATTAGGGTTACTTTCGGGGATGTTTAGGAAAGTTTGATGAAGGCACTTGATTCTAGTTCATTTCAATTGTTGTTATGCTTCATGAGATGATCTTTATGTGATAATAATTACAATCGGGTTGTATGAATTTTTTTTGCTATCATTACTAAAATAGTAAACTGTTAATTCACAAATTGTTCCAAGTTCAAGTAACCTAGGAACAAAGACATTGGTTGAATCCACATGTATTATTCTAACTTGTGATATTGAATCTTAATATTGTCATAGGTAATTGTAAGACACTTTATTGTTATTTCACTATTTGTTTCCGATCCAATTAGATAGAGGGAGTAAGACAACTAGTTGAATGAACATATTGTGCACCCAAATTTATGTGTTACAAAATAGTAACCCCAATTGCATCTAAGTAACTGAATTAGAATTTTAGGGAAGAAGATGTGTGAATTTAAAGTGTCCAATAACTAAACCGGGGAGTACCTTACTTTTCTAATTAAAAGTTTCGTTTCAATTAATAAATTTTCAAGCTTCTTGCTTTATTTTCAGTTTGAATTAGTTTTACCGCAATTGTAAGTATTAGTTCTTTTATGTTGACTACTTTTAACACAAAGTTTGACCACGAACTCCTCATGGATTCGACATTTACTTACCATAGTTATCTGGTGGTTTTTGAGGTTATTTTCTTTATTGAGACAATAACCTCGATCAATCGCTTCACTTATTTCAAAATGATGTAAATGACATGTAATTTTCGACTTTAACGTGGTCAAAGTAAAAAAAAAAAACTATAATGACCAATTAAAACCAAACCAAAACTTTAACACTATTAAATAAATACAACCAAATAAAAGTCATATAAAATTAATTCAAGTTAAGTGTGATATTGATAAGACAAACATTTTATTAAATATATAATTGCATTCATAACACATTAAAATAAATATAAACACTCATTTACAAAAATATTGTACATATAATTGAAGAAATATTATACATACATTTAGATTAGTAGAAATGTAATATTGTGATATTAATATTATATAATGTGTGCCAATTTGAATTTTTATAAAATATGTGTATGTCAATTTGACGTTTTATTAAATTAGTTAGCAATATAAATTAATAAAAGATATTAATTTTTTTAATACATTTTAATTTTTTATCACGTTTAAAATATACCAACATAATTAGATATTTTCAAATTATATAAACACAAATTTAAAACAAGTTAAATAACTAAATATATATACAAAACCAAACTATAAGGATCAAATATGACAATACAAAATTACCATATATATAAATAAAGAAAATGAATAGTAACATTTCAAAATTTGAGTTTTACTGTTAATTTTTATATTGTTAATTTTTATATTTATAGAGTGTAAAATAGAATTGTGTTGAAGAATTTACTCTATTTTTACACTTTATAAATATAAGGTAAAATCAAAATTAAAATTAGGTTAAAGATGCCCTAAGGACTTCCCCTATAAATGTCCATTAGAAGAAACGATATAGAGGAAAACAATATCAACAATACTATCACATACACATATACACTCTTTCTCAAGTCCCGCACCCCTCTCCTACATACATCATCTCCAAGTCCAAACTTAGGCATCAAATTGTGTGATGGGAGACACCCCGATAATACTCGTGACTCTTCTTGTTTTGTCTTTGGATACCATGCTCAATCTAGCTTAATGGAGATCGACGTAACATCATATGCTATAATAATTTATACGATGAAAATAATTTTGTTATTAGTTTACACCTTGATATTTAAATCTAATAGCAATTAGTCAATTGATGCAATTAAGTTGATCTCATATCAATTTATACATAAAATAAATTAACACTATATTTAGAAAAAATAGTAATTGTATTTTCAAGATAAAAATATTTAAATAGTTAATTTTTCATTTAGCTTTGAAAGCCCAAAAAAAAGGTTAAGAAAAAATTACAAAAATTCCACCCATTTTACAAACTTATATACAATCTCTGGAGTAGATTTAAGAAAAGTAAATTTATACATGCAAAACACGTTGAACTTCAATAACCTTACAATATTGTGAAAGGTGTATCGTCTAAAATATAAAACTAATATCTCAAAATTGATATATAGAGAAAAAATATTTTGTTGTCAACAATGTATCATTATATTATCCATTTATATAATAGAAATTCATCTAAAAAAACTGGTTTTGAATATAGTTATTTACCTTTCTTTCTTAATGTTTTTAATTCTATCCAGTGGTGAATAAAACTGATATCGGGTCAGTACGGTCTTTTTCTAATGTTTAGCAAGGCCGGCGCAGTCTTGGAGCGTCTTTTTTTGTGTCAACTTTTAGAACCGTGTCCTTTTTGGTGTCAAGTTTTAAAATATATTTTTTTGGTAAATAACATTGATGTGAAAATTTAGATTATTATAAGCTTAAAAAACAAGCTACTTTATAACATAGTCTTATTATATTTGGTTGAGTTGTTAAATTAGTTTTTAATATCTTAAAATCATTAATTCTCAAAATATAAATATTAAACAATCATTCAATGGTGTTTTGAGCAAAGATTAATAAATATTAGGATATTTAGGGGTATTGGGATGACTTAGTTATATTTGATTCAATCATATGTATTCGGTTTGATTTCGGTTTTAACAATAGATCTGCATAATCCAAAATTAAGGGCGATGATATTTCCACTGCTTATTTTCATCCATCCACAGACAATTATACCCTTTACTTAAATTGTATAGTGTATTTTAATTTAATTATTCCTAGGCTTTTTAGGAGCTGAGTTGTTTCAGTTTTCAAACCAACACGCAACCCACAACACGTTCATGAGGCTCAAATCTTCCTCCTTTTTGCTGCAATCTAATGAATTCACCTGGAATGTAGTGACCAACAGCTATGCTTCACATTTTCCCTTCCGAAACTATGTTGGTTCCACCGGTGATCAATCGGTTCAATATATCCGACAAACACTAGCAGAACCAGTTTGTATATCCCCCTTTTTCTCTGATTTGGATTTTCCGGCTTCCCTTTTCGCCAATTTCTCAGATCCATTACCATTACGCCGGTGTAGAAGTAACCTCAATGTGCGTGACATTTCCGGGTTGGACCAGAAGTTGTTTGTGAAGTAGTTTGTTAAGTTTGTAGGACTTTATTTCGGAGCCCCGATGATGCGATTGTTTAGCATATTGATGTTCAGTAGCTTCTGTATAACGTCCACTAAAATGGCGTCTGTGTCAAGGTATATTACCCAAATAGGAAAATGTTTCTATTCAGTCGTGTTAAGACTAAATCTCTCTGGTCACTGCATTCTGGTCCTTCATATTAGACATATTATTTTGTATATATTGGTTACTCATATTTTTCCCTGTAATTTCTCTAAATTGATATTGTAATTTAGGTAGGTTGTTAGCTATTGTACCTATTTATGTATCATATCCCTTTCAATAAGAGATCGATTGATTCTACGAAATCCTTTATGGTATCAGAGCTTCTCTGAAAACCCTAATCCCCTTTGACAGCCACGGCTGCTTCTTCTCCTCTGTTTATCTTTCGCCATGCCTGGTGATGAACCAAACCCACAAAAGGGTGCCCTGCATCCCGTATACACTGTCACCAACATTCAGAACAAGGTTCGTGTCCTTGATGGTGTCAAAGTCACATACTCGTCATGGGTAAAGTTGTTTAAACTTCACGCTCGAGGTTATAAGGTCTTAGCTCACATAGATGGCACCGCTTCACCAGCCAAGACTGCTGCAGATTACAACCAGTGGAGTGAGATCGATGCCATTGTTTTACAATGGATCTATGGATCGATATCTGATGATATTCTTGTCCGTGTTCTTGAACCTGATTCCACTGCATACGAAGCATGGGAAAAGATCAAAAATCTTTTTCTCAACAATAAAGGCTCAAGAGCTGCTGCACTTGAACAAGAATTTACCAACCTTACCCTCCGATCAATGAACTCCCTGGATGAATATTGCCAAAAATTGAAAGATCTTGCAGATCAACTGACGGACGTTGAAAACCCGGTCAGTGAAAAACGACTAGTTCTTCAGATGGTTCGTGGCCTCCCACCAGAATACGATACTGCTGCCGCCTTCATTAACCAAACATTGCCTGACTGGGACACCGCCCGCAACATGCTTCAACTTGAGCACAACCGACAGCAAGCTCGAGAAAGCAAATCTGTCACCGGTCTCGCCCGCAACATGCTTCAACCGACAACATGCTTCAACATGTCGAGATTGACATTCATTTTGTTCGAGAACTAGTTCAAATCGGAAGAATTCGTGTCATTCATGTACCGACCGATCATCAGTATGCAGATATCTTTACCAAAGGGCTGCCACGTCACCTCTTCAATCGTTTCAAGACCAGTTTGAGCATCTGTTCTCCTCCTGCTCCAACTGCCGGGGAGTATTAGACATATTATTTTGTATATATTGGTTACTCATATTTTCCCCTGTAATTTATCTAAATTGATATTGTAATTTAGGTAGGTTGTTAGCTATTGTACCTACCTATTTATGTATCATATCCCTTTCAATAAGAGATCGATTGATTCTACGGAATCCTTTACTTCAGACACACATAGGGTCGAAGATGGTTGAAGATTGCAGCATCAAATTAAGGAGAACAATGGAAGAACGAGGGTTGTGAGGAAGAAGAAGAAGTGTCAGACTCAAAAATAAATAAATTTCTAAATAGACTTTATATTTAATAAAGGGTATAATTGTCAAATAACTAACAAGTTATGCCGATGAATAAAAAAATGAGTGGAAGAATCAACTCCCCAAAATTAAATTACATTATGATATGAACCAACCAATTTATAATTCTTTCAGATCGGTTTTTCAAATTATGCTTTCAAGAATAGAGACTTTCCAAAATATATAACTTTAACATTAACAAAGCTTGATTTGTTAAGTTTGAATTCACAAATTTTTCATCATCGCTCATCTTAGTAAACTCTAATACAAGACATAAAACCATAGCCGGGTCCCATCTCCCATAGGCCCTTATCAAATGCTTTATTTTTCATTTTCTTCAAAGATAAACATGAAATTTTGTAAATTGCCTTATTGACCCTCAAAAAGAAAAGGCTTTTCTTTCTGAATTTGGATCGGTGTAGAAAATAAAAAGAAAACGCATGAAAAAGGCCCTTCAACTCATGGATGATAGCTAGCCAAGACGACACCGTTTTTATAAAGCAAAAGCAATTAAACTTCAGCTTCACTCTCACCACCGATATGGATATGGGATAGAATTTGGAACATTATTAACATAAATACCACAAATAATAATAATAAAATTTGTCTCTAATTCAGTGAAGACAGGTTCGCTCATTGTTTACTTACATAAAATTGAGAAAAAAAAATATATTTAACCCAATAAAATATTATAATCATTCATTTCTCAACTTGTATTTCACAACACCTTGACATCAATTCATCAAAACCTCCATCTCCATACAAGAAGACCATTACAAATATAACACAAAAAAGAATGTAAAGAATTTGATCAACTGAGTTTATTCGTCTCCAAAATCCACTTCCTTACTTTCTTTACACATTCCTCATCAAATCTTATATACAACTCCTTCAACTTCAAATTTCCCTTCACTAAAACTGAGTCAACATGTTCTTCATATCTCTCATATGAAACCGGAACAATAAGAACAACAAAAACACCTGTCATGAAACAACATAACAACTTAAATAATCTTTCTTTATAACTATATATGGATGTTTTTTTTACTTAATCCACCACTTAATGAGAAAAAAAAATAGAAAGAAAAAAAGTCTTACTTGTGTAGCACAATGTTCGGAAATCAGTTAGACTTCCAATAGTTGAGATGATAAATAAATATGACGCAACTTTAGCAAACATTTTAGGGTCTTTTCCAAGTGCAATATCATGGGATACAGATAACACTGTGTTTATTTGTTCACGAATCAAAGCTGCAGCTTCATTTGTTGTTTCTTCTGACAGCTGTAAGTATGGTATTGGTGGTGTAGGTCTGTTTGTCATCATGTTTGCAAAGATTTAAAAAATGTATAGAATTTATTTAAAAAAAAAAAAAAATTGAAGTGTAATGATCATGAAGATAAGGGCTGAAATCTATGTTACCTGTTGAGAATTTGTGCTGATTTGGCCCAAAGGAAAAGAATGAGAAGTAGGAGTAAGAGAACATTGGAGACGTATGATAAGAATGTGTAATCGGATCTTTCAAACATCATCCAAGAAGCTAAAGTTATTATGAATATTCCCATTGTCACATTTGTATGCCTCCATAGAATCACATCTGCAACTGATCAATGCATATAATAAGACTTCGAATACTTTAAAAACATACGTAGTTACTTCCAAAAATACACATCCAAACACCCTCTAGGAACTTGCATCAATTACGAATTTGAATTTTGTATCTTGAGAACTAAGGCATACCCGGAATCAAGATCAAAATGACATCAAGATTCAAGACAACAGAGCTGATCGTATCTTGAATTGTGATCAAAACAAGATCTTGATTAATGATAATCATTACCCATGAATGGAAATTTGATAAGATAAGTTTGTACATTGAAAACAATTGAGATTAAGGCCTCTTCTAGTTTTGCTCTACCTTTAACTACGAAAGATATACAGATTGTTTTGAATTTTTCAAGTCGAGCTAAAATCAGTAGTTATCATATTTCATTTTGACGCGAAAATTGAAGTTGAAAGCAAGTCAGAAGTCAAATTGTACACTTCTATCGGGAACCAAGAACATTGTTCAAGATAAAAATGAGATCCTGACCCATCAATCACACAAACCCAATAATTCAAATCCGATATGCGATAAGAATTAAAAGGGAAAAAAAGAAGGTTTAAAATCAGAAAGACTTACAAAGTCCGCCTCCGAGAGCCTGATGAACACTTGTTTGCCTATTGAACAACAATCGATCTGATGAACTCATTAAGATTCTGCAGAGCAATCAAAGATCTCAAAGTAAATCCTACAGGGGTTCGATATGATTTTGAAAAAGGGAAAAAACTGTAAAGGACTGTGTTCACCTTTCTGATAGTATTGTATTGCAATTAGAGTGTTAGGGTAGTGGTGGGTGAAATTTGTGGGGTTGAGAGTTGTAAGATTACAGCCTAAAAGATCAAAAAGCAAAAATGGGTCTCTGGTTTGGCTTTTCTTTCTATAAAATGATGAGAGAGAGATATAAAAGTCATTCTTCCCGTGAGTGACCGGGTAGTCTCTATACTATACACATACATTACACAGGGACGGTGAAGACGTTCCTACCAATTTCCCGTGAGGCCGAGTAGGACCCACAGACCCAATAAAATAATTTAAATGTGGGTTAAATTCTATGTAGTTAATATTTTGAGGCCTACATACAACAACATTATACTTCGGAATCCCATAAAATGGATAGATATAAATGTGAATAGTTGTGTCTCAATTGATTATATATATATATATATATATATATATATATATATATATATATATATATATATATATATATATATATATATCCGTTTACCTGTGCCAATCGACATGTGCGAATAGCTTTTTCTTAAGCGATTACTTTTTTGCGCAACAAAGACAATTTTTTTCCTTTTTTTGCCTTCATGCATATAAATGTGGTACTATATTATTTACATATTTATAATATTTCTATTTAAAAGTATGAACCTTAACGGATACACAAACAAAATATCTAATATATTATCCCAAATCATTTATCATCAATTGCTTCCATGTAATCATCCTCTTTTGATTAAACTTACCTGATTTGTTTATTAATTAAAAAATTTGGGTATAAAACAAATTTAACAATTCAAGAAAAACTTAGACCAAACTAACCTCATACCATTCTTTTGTAAGGTGTAATAGCGAATCACCCACTCATCTGATGTTTCGTCATGGATCGTTAGTTTAGCTTGGATTTATGCAGTTCCATGATACCTTCCTATCTAAGATGTAGAATGATGGTTTTTGGTTAGTTAAAACCTATCTCAACCACCCTTATTTATGTTGGATTAGTGTCTAAGCCTGTAACTATATTTAGTATGTACTTGACCCGATTGTGCATGATCCTTTTGGGTTGCCTTCACCAAAGCAACTGGGCAAGATGATTTATGGAGAGAGAGAGAGAGGGGTTATTATGATTTATTAATATATTATATGAATAATATATTAAAAGAGAAGTCATATAGTTTAATTAATATTGGTCAAGAATTAATTTTGTGGCTAAGAGAGATTAATTAAATAAGGGGGACTGAAACTGTCAATTATAAGATAATTGAATTTGGGCTGTGAATCCTTATGGATATAAGGGGGGACGAAATCTAGAGTGGAAGCCCACTCTAATTTCGTCCAAGGGGCCTTATTCCAGAAGATTCTTAAGCTGCTTAGGGCCTAAGTCATCCAACTAGGGTTTTGACTAAAACCCTAACAGCTCAGCTATTTAAGGGACCCCAGGGCTTCAGTTTCGGGGACACCAAGAAACCCTAAGGTTACTATAGCCGAAATTATGCCTCTCTCCTTCTCTCTTCTAGATCATTAGAGGTGTTACACTTGTGACACTAAGCTTCTTGAAGATTGAAGATTCTTGCAACTTTTGAAAGGTATCATCTAAACTTGTTTTGTTATAGATCTCGTTTTTCAAAGTATGCTAGATTAGGGTTTTCAAGGTTTGGATAATTTGCATGTACGATAGAGAAACCTAGATCCAAATGCTTTAGGGTTTTGCATGTGCACATATGATGTTCTTTTGCTCAAAACTCATAAGTGGTATCAGAGCCTGGGCTGTTTTCTTTTGTATTTGATGCATAGATTAATCATTCAAATCAAAGTTTTTTTCGTTTTTTTGCTTCTGGTTGGTTACCACGACGTGGAATAGATTGCTACGACGTGGTGGCGAGTCAGAGTGCAAATCTCGGGATTTTGGCTTATTTTGACTTGGGATAATTACCAAAATTATTTTAATTAATAAAATCCGATTTTTATTGTAACATCCCGTTTTAAATATAACGATTAAATAATAAATCGGAACCCCGAGATGTAATTTTATTATTATTTTATATTATTATAGCCCAAAATCAAATAATAACTAACATGGTGTTGGTTTCGAGGGGGGAGCTAAATGATATGATTTGGAGTTTCGGGGGTTTAAATGCAACTCTCGTGTTAGTTTTTAAAGAATTTTGGAGGTTAAGGGTTGTTTGGTAAATTCTGGATCAAAGTTGAAAAGATTTGTTGGAGTCAGGGGCCAAATGGTAAATTTTGGGCTTAGTTTGAAAAGAATTTGTAGAAGCAGGGACCATTATTGTTAAAAGGTGACCAAGTTTGGTAAGACACGGGACTTGAACCCGTGTTACTTACCCTCCCGTTTTTAAGATGCAATACCCCAAACCCTAACCCTAATCACCATTGTCAGCCGCCACATCCCGTCTCCAGCCGCTACCACCCCTCCTTTTTGCTTTTCCGATCAGCCAAGACCCGACGGACCTTTGTTTGCGGTGATACCATGGACCGACGAGAACCTGGACGACATCACATCGGCTTAGAAATCGGAAGAGCGAAGTTGACTTCGTGGTTGCTGCTACTGTCGTTCTCGGTCACGTCTCTACTTCTTTGTATCTTCTGTTGCTCCGCCTCAGCCAACGTCCGCTGTCGCCGCTCCTACAACCGTTAAAGACAAAGGCCACCGATGGAAGTTGTGACAGCGTACGATCGGAGGTAACGAGCTGCTGTTGTTGCTATTCTCGATGACGAATCGTGTCACCCCTCCTTCCCCGTTATGCTTTGTTGCGTCTGGTCCGATGAGAGCCACCGACGTCCGCTGCCGTCGCCATGCGACTATTGTATTTCCGGCTGCTCCGGTCTTCGTTTGCCACCCTAAAGGTGGCTACAGTCGTATTTTCACTACGTATGTGCTGTTGTTGCGAGTTTGTGCATGTCGGGTGTGTGTTTGCTTGGCCGGATAATCGAAGAGAACCACCATGGTCGCCAACCATGGTGGCTGCCACCATCTACCACCGCCTGCCGCCGCTAGGTGGTTGTGTGTGTGTGTGAATTTAGCGTTAGTGTGTGTTTATTTTGGAGATTGACATTGTACATTGTAAAAAAATGGAATAATGGAAAGAAACCCTAACCACCACCGTGAGGTGGTGGCTGCCGCCTCCTGCAGCCACCGACCGTCGTGTCGGGTGGCGGTGTGCTTGCCTTGTTGTGTTTGATTCGTTTGTGATGCTTGAAACCCTAATGGGCCCAATGAAGCCCTAATGGGCCCAGGAAACCCTAATGGACTTAAGAACTTGGTTTTGGGCCTATTGGGCTGAGGTGTTGGAAACCCTAATTAGGGTTTAGAAACCCTAATGCCATGAAACCCTAATTTGGGACTTATCGGGACCGTATCGAAATTATTTAATGAACTTAAAATATTAAATTATAATCATTGGCAAATTAACTTAAGGTAATGGTGGGCTTAATGAATTAAGTCCTTAATGGATTAAGTCCTTAATGGGTTAAGTAGGGACACTTAAACCTAATCATCATTTTATGTGAAACCCTGATTTCACTTGGGCCTTAAGTTGGGCCTTTCTATTTGGGCTTTGATAATTTGGATATTAATGGGCCATCCAAAGTCAAGCAATTGGACTAGAATAATTTAATGGGCCTAGGGTAAGGCCCATGTAAGGGGTTTGGGCCAAATTTGGAAAATTGGGCCATAGATGGGCCATATGTTGGGCTTTGGCCCATTATTTGACTTTTGGGCTTTTGTAGTGTGAGTTGGACCTTGGGCTTGGAACCCAATTATTAATTGGGTATTGTTTGATGTTGACAGTTCGGGAATCTGTCAACCAGCAACTGGAGTTGTATCTGCGGGACTTCAGCAGTGCCAAGTGAGTTAGCCTCACTATACTCAAGGGTCTAAGGCACCAAGGCCGGCCCTTTGAATTGTTATTGGTTATGTTATGCTAGTATGATCTGTTAGATCGATATCCTATAGGGTGGGATGATAATATGTGATATGTGGTATGACATGTTAGTTAGATATCCTAGAGGGTAGGATATAATATTATATGTTATGTGGTGTGATCCGGTAGATCAGTTTGTTGTCTATAGACTGTTATGTGATTATCTGTTATATGTGCACATGTTTGTTTGGCGGTTGAGGCTTATCTGCTTTATGCGAAAGCCAATAGACCTGGGCATTCCAACCTGTTGGTTGTGGGCCGTGAGTATTCCATCCCGAGGATGATTGGACTCATAGTATGTGGGCATTCCAACCTGTTGGTTGTGGGCCAGGGGTATTCCAACCTGATGGTTGATCGGACCCATAGTGTGTTGGCATTCCAACCTGTTGGTTGAGGGCTTGGGGTATTCCCACCTGATGGTTGATCAGACCCATAGTGTGTTGGCATTCCAACCTGTTGGTTGAGGGCCTGGGGTATTCCAACCTGATGGTTGATCGGACCCATAGTGTGTTGGCCTTCCAACCTGTTTGTTGAGGGCCTGGGGTATTCCAACCTGATGGTTGATCGGACCCATAGTGTGTTGGCATTCAAACTTGTTGGTTGAGGGCCTGGGGTATTCCAACCTGATGGTTGATCGGACCCATAGTGTGTTGGCATTCCAACTTGTTGGTTGAGGGCCTGGGGGTATTCCAACCCGATGGTTGATTGGACCCATAGTATGTTGTTTGTGATAATGTGTGTATTGTTGTGGGTATGGGTATTTTGGGGGAACTCACTAAGCTTTCAGGCTTACAGTTTTAGTTTATTGTTTTAGGTACATCAGGGGATTGTGGCAAGGCAAAGGCGTGATCGTACAACTCCTCACTTTTTATGACTTTGTTTCTGGGATACTCTGATATGATACATTTTGAAAACAAGTTTTGTAATGGTTAATAGATTTGAAATGTTTTTAAAAGTTTAAATTTGACATGATTTTTATGGGTGTTACATTTATTGATTCCATATGATTATCTTAGTCAAAATAAAAGATTTTTATCATTTAATTAGATAATTATTGCCTTATTTGATAAACCTTAATTATTTGATCAATTATATTGCATGAAATTGGATTAGGTCAAAATTAGATAATCACCAATTAATTGTTTAATTATTATTATTTTAATTTTGATCTAGATAGTTTTGAAATGTTTCAAAACTTGCCCTCAAGTTTCGAAATTTAAATTTTTGGATTAAAAGTTTAATTTTGAAATAATTAAATTCC